GCCAGCTAATGTTAAAGCTACGTAAAACTAATTTTAGTTTTTAGTCAAACTCCACCGTTCATGTACTTTATAACGCTGCAAGGTAATGTAGTTAGGTTGAAATTTCAGAGTTAAGCAAGGCAAACGAATTTCATTAGAGGTGGACAGTTAATATGCAGCATATATAATAGCGGGTCAACAACAATCTAGATGTCTGGACGGCGATATAAATCATTAGAAACCCCAGAAACTTAATTGGAATTATAATTACTTATGACATTTAATTATAACTAGCGACACCCTGGTTTTGTTCGGACGTATAAAAATATTATGTAAAGACCCCGCCATCTGTTGACAAATTTTACCACTACCTTAATTTTTACTTCTTACGTGTAATTTTACTACTTACGTGTTACTCCAAATCATAATCTATCTGTATAGGAAATTACATGCAAATCCGTCGAGTTATTTCAAAGAAAGAGTAACAAAGACACACATACAAAATCTCTCAATTATAATATTAGTTTAATATATTCTGCTACAATACAATTATTTGACAATAATTAGATGCCAATAATAATAATAAATAATATTATTCTAAATAAAACAATCTTTTCGAATTTTTTCACGGATTCATTTTGATTTATGGTTCCCGACGTCTCTCCCGGGACAACGATTGCTGTTAATGAAGCATTCGAAACGTAGAGAATCAAAAATCAAAATAAATCCGCGAAAAAATCCCAAAATATAGTTTTATTCAAAATATCATACATTCGCGTAAATCTAAGAAAGTATTAAATAATACATTATATATAATATAGTAATTATAAAACATATTATGGTATTAGTATAGTTTGAGAAAACCTCCCACAACTACCCCACCAAAGGTACGCACACGAGCGAAGCAAGGCTAAGTTGCTAGTTTTAAAATAAATTTATAATACACCTACCCCATAACTCATTTCATACCAAACACTTGATATGTAATCGGCCAATAATCTCGTAGAAAATATGCGCGGTAGCAAAAATGGCTGTAAAAATTTAGCGTAGCATTTACCTTTTAGAGCTCAAGTCATACCTTTTTGCATATTTTAAATTATGTGAGACTCCACATGAGACTACTTCAAGAACAAAGTAATAAATAACACTCTTTTCTTAAAACAATTTAAAGGATAAAATATTTTATACTCAAGGGAAATTCTAACTTCGTTAGGTTTCACAACACCGTGATAACTTCCTAGGCCAATAGAAATAGCAGATAAATTATGAAACTAGTCTGGATTTATGGATCTAATAAATTATTTTGAAAATAAGTATAAATTTTTATTTTAGACTGGAAAGAATCTTAGCAATATTTCAGGTGGTTAAAAAAAGAAAAAAAAACCGGCCAAGTGCGAGTGGGACTCGCGCACGAAGGGTTCCGTACCATTAACTATAAAAATGGCAAAGAAATAATGTGCGTTGAATGGGAGCCCCCTTAAATATTTATTTTATTCTGTTTTTTAGTATTTTTTGTGATAACGGCAACAGGAATACATCATGTGTGAAAATTTCAACTGTCTAATTATCATGGTTCATGAGATACAGCCTGGTGACATACGGACAGATAGACGGACGGACGGACAGCGGAGTCTTAGTAATAGAGTCCCGTTTTACCCTTTGGGTACGGAACCCTAAAAGAAAGAAAAATAAAAGAGATATTAAATTAAACTAACTTTCTCCAATATTGAGATTTTATTATTTTTGACTCCGTACAAACAAGAAACATTCATATGTAATTAGCTAAATAAACATACGTATCTACGTTCTATATGCTGTGGGCTTATTATTTTTGCTATCATAAAGTCCCAGGCTCTACAAACTTTATATATAGTATCTCTTTCTCTTTTTTTTGACGACACGTTTGGCTCAGTGTGTAGTGACCCTACTTGCTGTGCCAGCGGTCGCGGGTTCGAGTCCCGCTAGGGGCATTCATTGTGTGATGAGCACGAATGTTTGTACTTCAGTCATGGGTGTTTATATTTATAATATGTATGTATTTAAAGTTTATATATGTGTAGTGTATCAACTATCTGGTATCCATAACACAAGCCTCGTACCTTACCATGGAACTAGATGGTGCTGTGTATTAATGTCCCAACATATTATTTTATTTTTATTTTTTTCGTTTTTTGTTATCATTATCCTCTTTACATACTATAGTCGAGGTTACTCATATAATAATAATTAAGTTTCTCTACTAAGGAATTTCACGCAAATATTAAAAAAAAAACAATAAAAAATTACTATATATTCAATGATATATAAAAACTGTGTTTCTAATATTTTCTAACAAATACTCTTCAAAAAGTGGTTTCGATATGTAATGTTGAGTCAAACCAAAGAATAAAATTCAGAAATCGGAATTTCTGACTGTCTAAACATAGATTGAAACTTGCACACCATATAAAGTACTTTTTTAAATGAAAATTTGTCATCTGAAAAGCGATGAACAAAAGGGATTTGAAAACAGTGCACATTTTCGGATTGTGCGCTTGTTTTTGAGGACACTTTTGAGTCGCTTATTAATTGTATATATTGAGTTTTTGTACATCAATGTATATATTATATAAAAAAAATCTACTTTATTCATACTATCATTCTTCCTGAAACCAAACACCTCACTATTTTTTCCTGTGTACTCGTTCCTATTCGTTACCCTACTTCATTGCCATAACAATTCATATGGCAATTGTGCTAGTTTTGCCTGCACTTAGGAAACTGTTTATAGAAGGTGTGTGATATATTTACAAATTAAACCCATTTTTATTAACAGTAGAATTGACTTTACTGAAATTTGGTGTTACTGGGTGTTTATATATACTTTTCATACAGAGTATCTGTAACTATATATTTATCTCATTATATTTGCAAAGAGGTTGATTCTTATAAAGTAACATATTTTTCAGACCTTTATTGAGTCAATCAGACAGTCAGATGGATTTACTTTAGCATTAATATATGTATATTATTAGTATATTATTAATACTTACCGACCGAACCGAGGCTCTGTCGTAGAATCTTAAAAATTGATGTTTTGACATTATAATATACACAGATAGAATAATATATTTTAAATCAATACTTAATTATAGTATGAAAACAATAAATAACACTTAAAACTAAATATACTTGATCTCAATAATAACAAGTATAAATAATAGTTAAACAAAAAGTTGCAAAATATAAATTTAAATATCAAGGATTCTATCAAATGATATTTTCCTTTGTTCATTTTATAAGCTCTGAATAGTTATACAACTTTATAATAATCCAATATTTGAAAAAAATCTAGGACATGCTCGAGTTTTTTATAATGCAATAATAAAAAATAACAATACAATCGAGTTCCAACTTCAGTCGTTAAGATAAAATCTTTTTTTGAGTTAATTTTAATAATTAATATCTTATTCATTGATAACTAGGCACATTCCCCTACTTTATCCGCAATACTTTTTGGGCTCAGTTTGTAGTGGCCCTACTTGCTGTGCCAGCGGTCGTGGGTTCGAGTTGCGCAGTCATGGCTGTTTTTTTACATAGTAGAAAATGTAGTCGCTTCCGCTTTCTGTTCGCTTACATCTTTTAAACTACTCAATGGATTGGATTTCAATGCAGTTTTCAGCAATAATTGAATTGAATTGGGTGATTTAAGAGGAAAATTTATATGTATATGTATAATAAATGCATATATAATATGATGTACAGAAAAGCCGAGAAATTCAAAGATTTGCATTTCACACTCATTCATTACTTTTTTTTTAGCGTTGGGAAATGCATTTACGCACGAAGTGTGGGACTCACCGGCGAAGCCAGTACTACCCACTAAAACCCAACAAAGCCTTCCCCCGTCTTAATGGGGCGTCGCAGGATCGCTTACGCATTCAACTACGACGCCCCGACGGCAGGTCTGCCGAAGCAGACCACAACAACCACGGGGTTGCTCCAAGGTCCACTCTGCTATCAGAGAAGTACCAGGAGCAACCCGCATGGTACACCACCCTCCGAAGAGGGCCGCCTCCCTGTGCGTTTCTTGGCTTCGCGACCGGTTGTATTGTCGGGCACTACTGAGCCCCCCCACCACGACAAGGTGAACGCACGTTGGGGGGGACACTCATTCATTACTATACTAAGCATATGTAACTAGATTTTCATTTGTATTTTTTCAATGCTATTTAGTATGCATTTCATGGTGAGTCGCTAGTATATTTATAATATGTACTCGTCTGTATTTAAAGTTATTGATGGTGTTGTGTGTTAATGTCTCAACATGTAATATTCCAACATATTTATAAACCTATAAGGTAATCATGTTTTAAATTATTCGCATATGAGAGAGAATATTAAAGGTGCGAAACTCGGGTTTGAACCCTTTTCAATAGGTTTCACAAGCAAGCGCGTTACCAAGCTGCTTCAAAACATAATTAAACAAAAATAAATAACAACAACAGTCAACCCTTAAAAGCTCGAAATAATTAAATTATCGTTTTAATAAGCAAAATTTGTTTACTTCGCCTACCATCGAACTACCGTCGACACTTACGTAGATAGGTCACCGAGATACAAAGTAAAGTGCTCACTCTCTATTAATTATAGCAGAGGTAAGGGTGGATATTTTTGACGCTGATGAGCTTTTTGTTTACGAAGCAGATATAAATAGTGCTAACGAAGCAAACTATTTTTTTTTTATTTTATGAATATCATTAAGTCTAGAAGTCCTGAAGCCTTGACTTTTTAATGAAAAATTTTGTAATACTAAAACCTTTTTAATATATTGTAGTGTATTACTTTAACATTTATATAAGTTATAAAAAAAAGAGATTTCTTTTTTTATAGATATATTGCGGATGATTTTGTTTAGGTGATAGATAAAATATACATACATATATCATAGAATAGGATGCTAATTCAATATAATTAAAAGAAGCAGGCATTATTAACATTGTTTTTACTGCTTCAGGTAACTACACCGAATTTGATATGAGATGGGCATTCGTGCACTGTGGTGCGCATTTCTGATAACACTCGTCAGACCTTCAGGAAGTGACTGGCTGAGTTGCGGCCACATTAGAGAATGCCATTGCAAATGGTCCTCTGGGAAGAAAACTGCAACATGTGTATCCGCAGGTCTAACACAAATACCTCAACTAGCATCAGATATTCAAGTATTAGACTTACATGGAAACAATATAAACGAGCTCCAACAAGATGCTTTAGCTACCATAGAATTATTAAATTTACAACGCTTAAACCTGAGTTCAACAAATCTACGTTTCTTGCATCAAAATGCTTTCAGAGAACTTCGTATTTTGATAGAATTAGATCTCTCAAGGAACTATCTCACCGAACTTTCACCTGACACTTTCAAAGGCAACGAGCGTTTAAGGCTTTTAGTCCTTAATGACAATCCTTTAAGTAAATTAGTTGCGCAGCAATTCCCGCCCTTACAACATTTAAAGAAACTCGAACTTTCGCGATGTCGACTCCGTAAAGTTCACCCCTTTGCCTTTGTGAATCTGCGGGCGTTAGAAACTGTACATGTACAACAGAACTTACTTTCATGTCTACATCGAGACACATTCAATCTACCAGCTTTGAAAACTTTAACGCTTTCTGACAATCCATGGTACTGCGATTGTAGGCTGCGAGAATTCCATGAGTGGTTTCTTAACGGCAATCTCGGTAATGAAGAGGTTTATTGTTCAGGCCCGGGTAACAAAGTGCACATATCTTGGTTAGATTTAAAAGGTGAAGATATGATTTGTCCCCCTTCGGCTATAACGAGTCCATCCGTAATACGAACTGAAACCGGAGCAGATATTTCTTTCGGATGTTTTATCCGAGGAGATCCTACACCTGATATTTCATGGTATTTTCGCCATACACAAGTAATAAATAAGACTTATAGTGATAGTGATGTTTCAGTATTAAAATATGCGATTGAAAACTTTAACGAATATACTGACGATTTTGTAAATAAAAGTGCACAGTGGTACAATGTGACTGTAAGTAACGTTACCAGTGATTTTGCTGGAGAGTGGCGATGTAGCGCTAAGAGTGCTGCTGGAGAATCTAGTGCGTACTTAACTCTGTTTTTGCCTAAAGCAAGGACCGCTACAGCTAGAAGTGCACCAGATTATTCAAAATTTTTTATAGCCATAGGCGCCGTATTAGCAATGGCTAGTACAGGATTTATAGCTGCTTGCGTTTGTTGGAAGATAAGACGTCGGAGAGTTCCACCGAGTAGAAGTTTTACAGACCAAGAAAAAAAATTGTTAGACACTTCTTTAGCTGTCAGTTGTGACAGAACTAGTGTGGATATGGGTTCATCTTACGGTTTTGAAATGTTTGATAGATCTATGTCTATGGAAAGCGAAGATACTCAACGATGCTTAGAGCCAGTTCAAATAACTATAGAAGGTCCTTCAGGATCGTTTCCCCCACCGCCGGCTGAATTCGCAATACCAGCGCCGTATGGTAATATTTTTATATCTGTACAAGTAACTGGGCATAACGAAGAGTTTCCAGATTTATTAGGAGGCGGTTCAACTTTGCCGAGGCGAAGCAGAACATGTTTTTTAAAATCTGCCTATGACAATATGGGACCGAGGGTGACGGCTACTGGTAGCTCGACATGGTCACTACCAGGTGCAAAGGGAGAAAAGATTCATAAAGATTCAACACCACCAATGCCGTTATCAACTTTTTCGACAGAATTCACTGCTTTATAAAATTTGTAGGTACATTTTTATATCTTTAGACTTAAAATAGACAATCTAAAATTTTCTTATTTAGATTTCTTACTTACTTAAGTAATAAAAATTATTTCATAAATCTGTTTGTTCAAGTTAATATTATCTTAATATTGTTTTTGATTTATATATGTATGAGATTTGTAAATTCAGATGAGACTCTTTTTATTTATATTTAAAGTTTTAGTACTATTTAAGCACGCTGATTCTCAAATTAAATTAAGTAATAAGTACGTGACTGTTATCCAAAACAAAATCTGAATAAAAAGTATTATAAAAATATTCACATATATTTATTTTGACAGTAATATTGAAATAATTATATAAAAATAATCCTAATAATACATCTATACTCATATATGTAAATTAAACTCAATTGCTGTTCGTTTGTCTCGCTAAAACTTAGACACGGCTGGACCGATTTGGATAATTCTTTTTTTGTTTTATTGGGGGTGTGTCAGGGGTGGCTTACGAATAAACAAATAGGGAACACCCAAAAAACCTGCTGGAAAATCGAAATGTTCAGAACTGTTTATTTTGTATGTAAATCACTAACCGTTAAAACTTACCTAAGGATGAACCCGAACGATGCGAGGGTGAGTCACTAGTTTTTAATATATCTAAGTAAGTGGTTGCTAAAAGTCTCGTCTCAATTTACAAGTTTGTGTATAGTTAAGCACTTTTGTGTATCATAACATATCAATTTTAGCAGCGTGCTTTTATTAAGTTTAGGTACTAACGACATTTTATGTAACTACTTCAAAATAGATTATAGTACGTATGTATAGTAAATTTTATAGTTTTAAGAGTTTGGATCGAAATATAATTGCTTTAAATTTTACGAGGAAATGAATAAAACTGTGAAAATAATTTCTTGGTTTTATTTCTTGTGTCTTTTAACATGACTGTGTACACTGAATATACTCATGCGTTTGGTTTATTTATTACTAAAAAATAATATTTTGAAAAATAATTCTAAATGTTACCCTAATTTTACATAAAAATACATATATTTTTTATATATAGAAAAGTCATTTTTATCTATTTTAAAAATTAAAAATATATTAGAATAAATAATGTTTGAAAGAAATTTATGAGTAAAACATTTTCGAGCAAATAAATATTGATTGAATATGGATGAATAATAAATTCTGCTCTTTAACTTATAAAGTAAATTATTTTTTCTCAAATAAATCACTTTTCATCAAATCATAAAATTTAATTATAGGAATTCCTATCTCAGAATAATTTTAGAATTCATCAGATTCAGATAATGATAGGAAAATGTCGTTAAAAAATTTCTTTTATTTACAGTTATTCAAAGTACAGGCTGTGATATAATAATAATTATTATACTTAAATAAATAGATTTATAAATATTTTATTACATACAGAGAATAACTGTGTAGAAAACATATAAGGTACAAAAAATAATAGCAATAGGCATGAAAAGGCGGTCTTATTGTTACGAACAATCTCTGACAGGCAACCTAAATCCTTATGCTCTATATAGAAAGGCTATGCAGTGAAAAACACACAGGTAAGTAAAATTTTAATTACCTAGTCCAGGAATCGAACCGCAAATGCCAGATAAGAAAGAACCAACGAAAAGTAACTCATGAAAGAAATATGTACGAAAATTAAAAAAAAAATTACTGTTTGTTACTTTAAGAAAATACTAGTGCAGTTGCTATACTGAAAATTGAAAGTTACAGAAGCAACAAACACAAAATAGAGCGCGTACATACGATATTCTGAAACTATTTTCAATTTGTTGGAAATGTTTTGAAAGGTGCTGGAAGTGAGGTAGTGTTACGTACATAATGAAACTCAACCACCGGGCATTCCAAAGTAGCATATCGAAAAAATAACTTTCGGGTAATAGCTTAGTTGAAAAAGTTTGTGGGATATATAAAGTCGTCATCTAAGTTTCAGCGTGCTTTCGACTGTGACTTAATTTTATCTAATTTTATAAATATTATTCTCGGAATGGTCAGAGGTCCATCAAAAATATCTGTAAATATTTACTTTTAAATACAAATATATGCGAAATAAAATTGTACAAATTTTAACACTCCCGACTAATTCGCCTTTCATATAAAAAAAAACAAAATCAAAATCGGTTCATCCGTTCGGGAGCTACGATGCCACACACAGACACGTCAAACTTATAACACCTCGTCGTTTTCGCGTCGGGGGTTAAAAAAAGTATGGACAATCAATACGTTTATGTTGTACATCCTCATGAATAAAAAAACCCTCTAAAGACCGAGCTTTTAAAATTCATTTAATATCTGTATAGTTAATTGTTAAAAATTATTTTCAATACTCCTATGAAAAATTGAATACGAAATCAATTCCAATATCTCGTTTTACAATGATCATATTTAATTTGTTTATATCATATTTTTTATGAACAAATATGATCTATCGCTAACAGTCGAGCCACATCTTATAGTCCGTATCGAAATCGAGCGCTGACATTTCAATTTGCTGAAAATAATGGGAGCATTGTAAGGCGAAAAGCGTCCGCGATGTGACTCGGATATAAAGTGAAATTTAAACGAATTTACGTACCGAGTGATTGACGTGTATCGAATAAACGCCAATATTATTATATACTTTTTGATTTAATGTGTATATGAAATCTATATTTAATAGATGCTTCATCAATGGTGAAATGTCAATTTATCGTAGGCCTAAAGCTTATATTATGTTCAAACGACCAATACTTGTTGTACTTTACAGTAGAAAGCGTCTTCTATTTTAAAAACAAATCATAAAACTACTAGCAGAACCCGCGGCTTCGCTTGCGCTAAAACACCAAAAAACCTCTAAAAATGTAGGTTTAATACAAGATTTCATTCCCTATTTTACTCCCTTATTGGAAGAATTTCGAAAACTGCTAAAACATGTATTTATTTAATTGAATTGAAGAGCATTAATACCAAGTCTCAAGTAATTCTGATCATAAATATTTTTTTGGGTTTTATTATAACGTGTTTTCCCGTGGGAATAAGATAATCTTCCGCCATAAAAAGTACTCTCCAGCCCTCCAACTATCTTCATACAAAAAATCACGCCAATCCGTCACTCTGCTTTGACGTGAAAGAAGGACAAACAAACAAATAAACAAACACACACTTTAACATTTATAATATTAAGTATGGATTATTATAAAATATATATTAAAATATAATAAAATATATATTATAATGTATATTAAAATACATAAAATACATTTTTTTCGCTAAATGAAAGTAAAATATGTATTTAATACCAATAGAACTGACATTTAAAAGTCAATAAAATTTACATTTGTTTCAGTTTAAAAAACTTTTTTTGGTAAATTGGTTGTTTGGACAAATAAGCACAGAGATAACGATATTAATTAGAAAAAGAAAACAATATTACAGGGAGAGGAAAATAAATGTATCATTGGTGTTTACAGTTTATGCTGCTTGTATTTTTAAATAAAAAACAATGATAGCTATAAATGTACTTCAGGTAGATATTAAATATTTTAATAAAATATTTATAGTTTTAGGGGCCGTTCATTAATTACGGAATGAGGATGATTTTGACGATTTATGACCCCCCCCGTGTCCTACCCCCACGTAAGGATACATAATAACCCCCCCCCCCCTCCCCGGGACCCTTACGTTAATGAATGGCCTCTTATAAAAAAAAGGGTAAAATACAATAAATTTTGCTAGCACAATCAAAGAAAACAAAATTGATCTAGGCGAGTGAAACCGGAAGCAAAATGTAGTTATGCAATAAAGCACTTCACATTTTACGATCGATACAAAATTGTCTTGGATTTCCAAATAACTAAGCATAATAATATTGAGATTATTTATTCATCTATTTACGAAAGCAGACGGGTGGCTCTCCCTAGAGAGCTTAGTCTGATCATCTACGAGTACCTTCAACTTTGCCGTATAGATTAGTTTATTAGAAATCTGATTAGTTTATTAGAAATTTTTATACTAGTTGTCGCAGCTTCACCCGCGTCCAAACTTCCGATCGCTAACAAAATTCACAGGTTCTGTAGTCCATAGGAAACATACATAGATATATCGATTTTTATTTTATTTAATCAACAATTTAAATTTATTTATTGCTCGAAAAATGGAGTCTTTTATTAAAATTTAGTGACACACCAACAGTAGCGCCATCTACCAGATCCATTTGTGCCATTTGTATTTTCAAACCATCCAGTAACCCATTGAAATATACACACAAAATTTCAACTAAATCGGTCCAGTCCCTTAGTAGGAGTAGGTTAACAAACATACGTACAGAAGAATTATATATATATATATGTATATTAAGATAAGTTTTGACATTGACTTGCTGATATACTACGTAATATTAACATATTTACTTCGTGTTAACATATACAAACACTCAAAAACGATTACTCAATTTTCTTTTGATACAATTTAATTAATCGATATCGGACTACTATTATAATTGTGAAATTTGTGTGTGTGTGTTCGTTACTTTATTTTTTGGGCTAGTTTGTAATAACTATTATAAGTGACAGTCTCTCACGTGACCATGGTTGCTGTAAAGCATTCAAAACGCCGGGAACCAAAAACCAAATTTATCCACGAAAGAATCATAAAATATAATTTTATTTAAAATGACAAATATTCGTATAAATGTAAGAAACTAAAAAAATATATTTAATTATTCATTAACGAAAAAAATGGACAACTGTTTAGTTTATGGGAATGCTATAATTTTATGCCCTCAAAACCTCATTCATTTCCTTACCATAATTTTATACATTTAGACTCCCCATCAGCTCCCTTAAAAATATAACTTAACCAGAGTTCGCATTCCATGTACTAAACTTAGGACAAAATCAATTTGTATGGAAATTAGTTTTAAATAAGTCCTTTTGACAACTATAACGTGAAGACCTTCAATCTTTAGCAGTTTAGTACTTATTTTTAGTCCACTTA